TGTCTACACCTGGGATCCAAACCAGCGGACCCCAGGCCACCAAAGCGGAACATGCGAACTAAACTGCTGTGCCACTGGGCCAGCCCCGGCAGTACACTCTGGACATCAGTCTTAGCAGCATATTTTCAGGTACCATGTCTGACCAGGCAAGGGAAACAGAAGAAAAAAATGGACAAATGGGACTACATCAAACTGAAAAGCTTCTGCACAGCAAAGGAAGCCGTCAACAAAACAAAAAGACAACCTAACAACTGGGAGAAGATATTTGCAAACCACATATCAGATAAGGGGTTAATATCCAAAATATACAAAGAACTCATACATCTCAACAACAAAAAACCAACAACCCAATTAAAAAATGGGCAAAAGATCTGAACAGAGATTTCTCCAAAGAAGATATATGGATGGCCAACAGGCACATGAAAAGATATTCGATATCATTAGCTATCAGGGAAGTGCAAATCAAAACTGCAATGAGATATCACCTCACTCTAGTCAGAATGACTATAGTTAACAAAACAGGAAACAACAAATGTTGGAGAGGGTGTGGAGAGAAGGGAACCATTGTACATTGCTGGTGGGCGTGCAAAGTGGTGCAGCCACTATGGAAAGCAGTATGGAGTATCCTCAGAAAATTAAGGATAGATCTACCATATGACCTAGCTATCCCACTACTGGGTATTTATCCAAAGAACTTGAAAACACAAATACACAAAGATACATGCACCCCTATGTTCATTGCAGCATTATTCACAATAGCCAAGGCATGCAAGCAACGTAGGTGCCCATCAAGGGACAAATGGATAAAGAAGATGTGGTATATATACATAATGGAATACTACTCAGCCATAAGAAATGAGGACATCCAGCCATTTGTGACAACATGTATGGTCCTTGAGGGTATTATGCTAAGTGAAATAAGTCAGAGGGAGAAAGTCAAATACCATATGATCTCACTCATAAGTAGAAGATAAAAACAATGACAAACAAACACAGAGCAACAGTGATTGAATTGGTAGTTACCATAGGGGAAGGGGGGAGGGGTATTAGGCACACAAGTGTGGTGATGGACTATAATTAGTTTTTGGGTGGTGAACATGATGTAATCTACACAGAATTTGAAATATATTACGATGTGCATTTGAAAGCCATATAATGTTATAATCCAATGTTACTGCAATAAAAAAAAATTGACTACTGTGGAAAATGAAGACCATTGAAATCACATGGAGAAGCAGACTGTGGTTTTTCTTTTTGACTGATGGCCATAATACTGTCCTTCACTCATCTGAAGGAGTTTCAAATATTCTTGAGACATCATTAAGAACAGGTTTTTTGGGTCGGCCCAGTGGCATAATTGTTAAGTTTGTGCGCTCTGCTTCAGTGGCTCAGTATCACGGATTTGGAGCCTGGGTGCAGACCTGCACACTGCTCATCAAGCTATGCTGTGGTGATGTCCCACTTACAAAATAGAGGAAGATTGGAATAAATATTAGCTCAGCGAAAATCTTCCTCAAGGAAAAACAGAAAGATTGGCAACAGATCTTAGCTCAGGTCCAATCTTCCTCATCAAAAAAAAAAAAAAAGAAGAAGAAGAAGAACAGAAGTTTTTGCAGGCAGGATAACTTTGATGCTATATGAATTCCATCATTTTTCTAGCACTGTTATGGCTTTAGATCTACCACCATATTAGATCTATTAACCCATTTATATTAATTTTCTTATCAATCTTAAAAAGGGGAGTACTTTTTATAAAGACTGTGCTTCATGTCCATATTTTTTTTGTTTTTTATTTTTTTGCTGAGGAAGAGTCGCCCTGAGCTAACATGGGTTGCCAGTCCTCCTCTATTTTGTATGTGGCTCACCTCCACAGCATGGGCACTGAAGAGTGGTGTAGGTTCGCACCCGGGAACTGAACCTGGGCCACCAAAGCAGAGTGTGCCTAACTTAACCATTAGGCAATTGGGCCATCGCCTCCACATTCTATTTTTAAGACTTTATATATGATTTTCATAAATTTTCTAACACTGTGGTGGTGTTATCTTACGTTGCTGTCACATCTCCTTTGGTTTTTACATTTCCTGAGAAATGCGTATGTGATTTCTGTTAAATGCCGTGCACTCCTAGAGACAGGGATTTCAATATTAGCATCTTCTCCTTCATTCTGTTTCCTACATAGTTGGTGGGAATGGGAAGGGCCTGGCTGGTCCATCTTTGATGGGGACTACCTGGTTTTTGTAAAGGGCCTGCTGCCTTGCTGATCTCCAGCCACCAGCTTGTGCAAGGACATGAGGCAGGTTGTGGAACAAGGAGGAACAGTAGCTGTCTGTGCTTGTTTCTCTGTAGAGCCAATAGAGCTTCTTGCAGAGATAGCCCTCTGATGCATCTGGTTTGCTGGTTAAGGTAGGATGGAAATGCAGAGAGTGAGGCCAGATCCACAACTTTTGGAGATTAATCCCTAGATACTAGAGCTTTATATAAGAAAAGGGAATAAGGGGAATTAGACAAATGAACCGGTATATTGGATTTTACGTACAGTCTAGGTACTGAAGGCAAGTCCATTTTATTGCAATGATAATAATAATAATAATAATAATAATAATAATAATAATAAATAGCCTAGGTAAGCACTTTTTCAACGCAGATGTGTTATTGGTGCAAAATGAAGGGGAGAAACCAAATCTTCTCTAGTTGCTTTTTTTGACCTTGTTAAAAAGTATCACCCAGGTGGTGAGCTGTAAACATGTTTTCTCACTCAGATTTTAGGTCATTCTGTCTTGAAAGGATTCTTTTGAGTTAGAACAGATTTCTTTAAAAATTGGAGATGAAGAATGAGATAGGAGGTGTCTGGCCTGATGTGGAGAAGAGCTACATGATATGAAATGCTCCTTGAATCGTGAGACCCTCACACAGATGTCTAGAGTAGAGTACTTTATGACTGCTTTTTCACTGCAGAAAAGTGGTTCTTTGATATAAGTGCTTTTGCTCAGGTAAGAGTTGTCATTTGATGCAAAACACATATGCATCCCCTTCTCCCCACACATCTAGACTTTAACCACGTGCTTCTCAAATTTTTAATTTAACTAAAGTGGCAGATCTTTACTCTCACATATAAAAGAAAATGTATAGGCAGAGCCGAGAAGTAAATCAAAGCCAAGGGAGAACTGACTTCAAGCTGGTACAAGTCAACAGAACACTTAGAAAGGAGTGAATTATTTTGACCTTGTGAAAAGGACCCCGGTTGGCCAGATTCTCATTTCACCCAAGACTTCCCTCCTTAGTTAGCTATTTCAGTTTTAGGTTCCAGTGGTCTCTATGCAAAAATAAGTTGGGTGGGGAAATCCTCTCCCTCCAGAGCTTCATGTTACTATTAGACTATAGAGTGACTTCCCTTGCTGACAGGCCCCATCTCCCACCCACATGGGACTGCTGCTTGCTTAGCGATGTCGAGTGTCAGTCAACCTCCTCCCACGTCTTCTATACCCCTCTCACTTCTGGTTCCTCTCACTTCTGTTCTACCGGTTGCACTCCTTCCACCTTTATGGGGTTCATACAGGTTTACTTTACTTTTTCTCTCCTTCATTCCTTCAGGAATCACTTATTTAGATGTCACATTTTCCTTACCTTCATCATTCTGTTCAGGTTTCTCTGCAGACGCTCCTCCGTCAATGTTCTTAGTGTGAGGTCCCCATGATTTGGCAGACTATATCAGTCTTTTCTGACCATTGTCAACTCGAACAGGACTCTCACTTTCTCCACTTAAACACGTGGTGCCTGAGTTATTTTCTCATAGCCTTAACAAATATCAAACGTTCACCTGAAACCAAGGGATCTTCTTCACACTTTCTGCTTGACAAAAAAAATTATTGCCTTCATTAGTCTGCATTAATTAAATAATTAATGACACATGTTTCAGGCTGATTTTAAGTATGAGTCTCTGGTCTAATTTATTTTTTCCCTTTTAGAACCAAATAAAGGAATAATCTCTTTCCCCTACTCTGATGCTCAAATCCAGCAGCACAAGGCCGTATAAAACTCAGCTCAGCTGATGCAACTGATCTTATTATTTCTGCCTGATGAATGGCTTTAAAAAACAGTAAAGGGGCCGGCCCCGTGGCCGAGTGGTTAAGTTGCACGCTCTGCTTCAGGGGCCCAGGGTTTTGCCGGTTTGGATCCTGGGCACGGACATGGCACCGCTCATCAAGCCATGCTGAGGCAGCGTCCCACATGCCACAACTAGAAGGACCCACAACTAAAAATACACAACTATGTACCTGGGGGCTTTGGGGAGAGAAAGGAAAAATAAAATCTTTAAAAAAGAACAAAACAAAACTGCACAGAGGGTCTGGCTCTGTGGCCAAGTGGTTAAACTTCCGCATGCTCCACTTGGGCTGCCCCAGTTTGTGGGTTTGGATCCCAGGCACGGACCTCCTTCACTCATGAGCCACATTGTGGAGGCATCCCGTATACAACATAGAGGAAGACTGGCACAGATGCTAGCTCAGGGCTAATCTTCCTCAAGCAAAAAAAAAAAAAAAAAAAAAAAAAGAGGAAGATTGGTAATGGATGTTAACTCAGGGTGAATCCTCCTCACCAAAAAACAAAACAAAACAAAAAACAAACAAACATAGTATAGAGTCTCTTACTGGTATCCCAAAGTCTAGAATAGTCTTCTGTGACTAGTTTCTCAGTGAAGTAAATTACTCTTCTATTTCTACATGGCTCTCATCATCTCATATGTTCTAGGATTAATACCACATACTACAGAAGAAGACAGCAGCACAGATTCAGGAGGAAGAAACACATTCTGTTGAAGTTGTGATTATCACACCGTTGAAATGAGAAGGAAACACAGCTCTCTTGCATCTTGGTCCTGCCTCTGGTCTCCAGAGGGTGATGTTGCACAAATGTTTGCTTTTGTTGCAAATTATCACCATCCACTTAGCCCCTCCTCCACGCAGCTGGTTCATGTATCCTCACTGATGCCTGTGTAGATAGGAACCTGTGATGAGACTAAGATCCAAACTCATTAAGGGAAAGAGTCTTTGAGCAGTTTTTAAAACTTATCAAAGCAAAAGAATTGTGCAGCTCAACCCCCCCATTCCTCCTAGCTCTGAAGGCTCAGTGACCTCAGCTGCTGTCCTACCTGCTCCTGCTCCGGAGCCTGCAGCGTTTCCACTGCTCAACCATGCTCCTGCTGCTCATCCCAGTGCTGGAGATGGTTTTTTCCCTGAGTAAGTAACATTCCATTCCCTTTCCTCCTTTCAGGAAAGTAATCATGTTCTAACTGAAATCCAAATAGAGACTTCTTTTCGTCATAGCTATATCTGCCCTGCTTTTACTTATACAGCATTGATGTTTCAGGAGGGACCAGAGCCCAGTCAGTGACGCAGCCTGACGTCCACATCACTGTCTCTGAGGGAGCCCCTCTGGAGCTGAAGTGCAGGTATTCATCTTCTCTTCCATCGTCTCTCTTCTGGTACGTGCAATATCCCAACCAAGGACTCCAGCTTCTCCTGAAATACACGTCTGGAAACAGCCTTGTTTCAGGCATCAAAAGTTTTGAGGCTGAATTTAAGAAGAGTGACACCTCCTTCCACCTGAGGAAACCCTCAGCCCATTGGAGTGACTCAGCTGAGTACTTCTGTGTTCTGGTGACACACAGTGCCTGGGACTGCAGGGGGAGCTGAACACAAACATCCTGAGACACTGGAACTTTCTGTGACTCAAGACTTCAACCTGGGGAGTTTTCAAGAAGATCTCTTTTTCTATGAAGGCCAATAGCGCAGGGTGGGCTGAGCCCTGGGGAGAGCTTGTCTCCCAAATAGTTGCGTCAATATCAGTGCTGTGCCATGTTCAGATAGACTTTGTAGATGGAGGTCTTCTGATGAATTTCTCCAGGAGGGACCAGCCCCCCCAACTCCCCACCCCCACTTCCACACTGATGAAAGGACATCATAAAGTGTCAGAGTTCTGAAGTGAAAAAGGCAAGAGCACCTTTACAAAAAAAAATCATTTCTAGCATTCATTATGATAATTAGCACTGGCTCAGGTGTTGATCAATACATGGAAAACTGAAGTCCTTGGTTATAATGTTAGCTGACAAGCTGTGCTGCATATATTCTCAACTGGGGCAACCTGCACAGCATAGATTCTTAATTAGTGCAGTATGGATTCTCAGCCTAGGTTTAAAGCTTAACTTCTAGCACATATATAGTATCCCGCTGTGTGATACTGACCTATCTTAAAGTAAATTAGACATTATGATCCCTAGATTTCTAATCTTGTGAGAATTACACAAAACTGAAGAACAAATTGAATGTAATTCTTAACGCAGTGTTGAAAATCTAGAAGCCAACAAATTGTAATTGTTTTTTGAAACAGTTATTCCAGTGATTTCCAAATTAAAAATTTGAGGCCACTAACCCATAAAAATACATCAAACACAGTAGATTAAACTGCTGAAAAAACTCTAAGACGCTTTGTTTTTAGAAGTCACACTAATTGATGATATAATAAAATTACATACTCAACAAAATTTCCAGCCTTTCAAGCTTATTAACAAACATCATAGGAAAGCAGAGCAAAGTTTACAATATCAGATATTACGTTAGTTTTAACAGGGATGTCCAAGACCAGGGAGCATTTTTATTTCCTCTCAAACACTTGTACCAAAACGTCAACATATTTAAGATATTTTATATACTATATGTATATATATACTCCAAATTGTCATTTGTGATTTGATTCATATAATAAGATCAAAAAAACTGCCCTCCAAGGTATAAAAAGTTTACACATACAGAAATTAAGCCTTCCTTAATTCAACATTTCATAACTTCTAGAGGCAGAAATTATGAAGTGAATAATTTCCCTTCTTAAAAAAATTTAGAATTACCTAAATCAAATTTTTAAAAATGAGATAAGGTAGGACTCCCACATTATTATAAATGTGTTTCTAGAGCTATTAAAGCATGAATTTAAAAATAGCTTATAAAAATAGTTCTATGAATCAAACAAAAAGAGGATAGACAGTCTATATTCAAAGATAATCAGACTTGGCTCTTTCGTCTCTCATTGCATCAAAAACTCATCTGTTTTCACTTTTATTTCTTCGGCTGCTACTGAGTCCTTAGTTTCTAGATCTTGGAGTGCCATTTCTTTCCATTTTTCTTTTGTTCCCCTTTTCACTTTTGTCTAGAGTTTTTCTGACAGAAGACCAGTCCTTTTCATTATGCCTTTCATGGTCCTTTAATCTGCTTTGGTCACGTTTTCCAGGGACAGGACTCTTACAGTTCTCCTCTTGGGCTCCTCCTTCGCTTGTCCTTCCCCAGGACTCGCCTTCCTCTTGGGCATCTTGTTGAATGCGGTGCTAGCAGTGGTCGTGGTGCTGGCTGAAGGTAGCCGGTTGATGGGAACTCAATCAAACACTTTTAACTTTCTTGTCATTTTACTTTATTGTGTCTCCTAAGCAGCAGAGAACTGGATTTTAAAATCATTCAGACTCTCTATATCTTAATAGGAAAATTTAGCCTTTTTATATTTATATATACATGCGTTTATTGGTACATGTTTATATACTTATTTAACTTATCTTACTTGGAGTAATAGTCATTTTAGGCCAAAGTGCCAAAGACTCTGTGGCTTATAAACAACAGGAATTTTTTTCTCACAGTGCTGGAGGCTGGAATTCTGAGATCAGGGACCCAGCATGGTTGGGTTCTGATGCGAGCTCTCTTCTAGTTTACAGACTGCTCACTTCTAGTTGTATCCTTACATGGCAGAGAGGAGAGAGAGAAGCAAGCTTTCTTGTGTCTTTTATGGGGGCACCAATCCCCTAATACAGACCCCACCCTCATGACTTAATTTCTTCCTTAAGGCTCCACCTCCTAATATCATCAGATTGGGAGATTAGAATTTCAACGTATGATTTTGGGGGGACACATACATTCAGTCAATAGCAAAAAGTGACAACGTTTGACATTAGAGAGCATCCCCTTCTTGAAATACTTTATTTGTGTTTAGAGAACCAACAACACTTTCTTGATTCTCCTCCTATAGTGTCAGCTGCTCCTTCTCAGACTCTTTGCTGGCTTTTTCTTCATCTTTTTGGTCTCCAAACATCAAAATGCCTTGGTCTCCAAACATCAAAATGCTTCAGGAATTTATTCTTGAAACTCTTTACTCTCCACCAATATTTTATCCAAGCTAATTTCATCCAGTCTTTTAGCTTTAAAAAACATTTAAATACCGGGGCTGGCCCGTGGCATACCAGTTAAATTCACATGCTCCACTTTGATGGCCCCAGGGTTTGCTGGTTCAGATCCCGGGCTTGGATCTATGCGCCGCTTATCAAGCCATGCTGTGGCAGGCATCCCACGTATAAAGTAGAGGAAGATGGGCATGGATGTTAGCTCAGGGCCAATCTTTCTCAGCAAAAGGAGGAGGATTGGTGGCAGATGTTAGCCCAGGGCTAATTTCCCTCCCAATGAAAAAAAATTTAAATATCAAAATTTATATCTGAAACCAGATGGCTCCTCTAATTTCTGGACCCATATATTAAATGGTCTATTTGATGTCTCCTTCTTAATCATCTGAAGATGATCTCTTGATTTCGACTCCTTCAGCTTCTGAGCCCTCCTTACTTCACACCTGTTTCATGTGGACTCTTCCTCACTTAGGAAAAAGGCAACTCCATTTACCAGTTTCTCTAATCCCCTTGGCCAGAAACCTTGAAGACACCCTTGTCTTCTCAATTTTTCTCACACTCCTATTTGATCCATTAGGAAATCCAATCAGCTATTTCTTCAAAGTACACCTAGAACTGACCACTTTTCACAGCCTCCACTGACCCCACCCTGATCCAAGCCATCCTCCTCTCTTGCTTGATTGATAGCAATAACGCTCACTGATCTCTTTTCTTTCTTCCCTGCCCCTCTTCAGTCTGTTCTCCACATAGCAGAGTGATCTTTTGAAAACATAATTTGGATCATGTGGTTTCTGTGCTGAGAACTCTCCAGCTTCCCATCTCCCTGAGATAAAAACCAAATTCTTTACTACAACCTACAAGGCTGTACTCCATCTGGGTCCCTGCCACCTCTTTGACGTCTGCTGTTGTCTCCCTTCTTACTAAATCTCTGCAGGCTCATGCACTTGCTGTTGCTCTAACATGGCAATCATTTTCCTGCCCCAGGGTCTTTCCAGCTGCTCATTCCTCTCCCTGGAGTGCTTTGACCCCAGGTAACCACATTGTTTACTCTTTCACTTCGTTCTGGCCTCTGCTAAGGTGATATGCTCAAAACATTTATTGCAGCATTTGGCGGGGAGTTGTAATAGTGGACAAACAAAAGAAACACACAAAGTATTTTTCAGAGAATGGCTAATCAAGCTGTGATAAACCCATTCTAAAGAATATTATGAAGCAGATGTGTTAACGTTGGTAGGTCATTAGGACATATAATTGAGTACTGTAACTCAGTTGCAAACTGCTATGGATTTGGACATTGTAGTCAGGTAAAAATGTATATATATATTTTAAGAATGTATTTATATCTCCTTTAAAAATAACAAATTAATAATAAAGATTAGGCCATTATACTTCATATCCCCCAAGGTCTTTCTACATCTCTGTCCATTTCCTCCTCTTTTATTTTCATCTAAGAAGCATCTCTATTCCACTCCCAAGCTAATACGTCTATTTAATCTCTTGATAACATTTCTTTCTATCTTTTCTAAGAAAAAGACAAAATGATCGTGTTCTTATTAAATCTTTGCCTGACTGTCCTCTCTTATAAGAGATGCCTTCTTATTTCTGGGTTCATTTTGGGATGCCACTTCGTATATGAACGCCCACACACACACATGTTTATCTTTCCTATTATGCTGCAAAGTCTGTGAGTAGAGACCACGTTGTATTCATTTTTTAATTTCTTAAGACCTAGCACAAAATCTAGCTTATAGAAGACCTTCCGTAAATTGCTGTGGACTTATTTTGAAATAGCCTTGAGAAATCACATTCAACACTACAGATGCAATTTGATGAAATATTTTAAGATAAATGCCATTAAATGGCTTTAAGATATATGCCATTAAGTGGCATTTTGAAGAAGAAAGCATTTTACTTAAAAAAAAGAGATCCTGATCCAGACTGAGAGTTCTTTTGCTCCTGATAATCTGTGGACGGTCCTCAGGAGAGAATGGAATGAGGGCTCTGGGGTTCTGGTGAGGCTGATGAGTAGTTGGCCTGATGGTTTTAGGCCACTGGGAGGCTCTCCAGGCTTTACTCTAAATAAGGAGCTTTTTTCTCAAGTTCTGAGATACTTGAGTCTTAGAGAAAATTTGAATGAGGGTTAGCAGTAGTTAGGGGAGCCTCTGAACTGGTCATATGTTATAAGAAGAGGGGACTCTCCATATATTCATCTGCGAGAATGGTGTGCTGCTGGGTGTAACAGAGATGGTTCCCCAAGCAGAACTGAGTAGAACCAGGACCGTGGTAAAGCTGGGAGCTCCAGAAGAAAACATCTACATCCCCTATACACAGTTTTGATTTTCATGACTAAAAATTCTGAAATATGAGCCTTCACTCTCACTTCAAAATTATTCCAATGATTTCTACCGTCTATAATACCTCTTCTGAGACAAAAAAAAAAAAAAACAGGAAAAAAGAGATGAGGAGATGAAATGGGAGAAAAATAATAACATGCATAGAGAAAAAGGAGAAAAGAGAGAAAAGAAAAGAGCGATTAGGAGAAAGAAACTGGCCACAGTTAAATTTTGGCCTGTATTCATAGTCTCAGAGCAGAACCAGCCAGGTGTACCTGCAAGGTGTTG